GTTAACCACACTTTACGGTTCGGTTTTCTCGGTTTAGTTCGATTTTTTTATTTTTCATGGACACCCCTACCTGTTACATATATCTTTTTTTTTGGTATTTGGTATTAATTCAGTTGTTTGATCTGCTGTTCCTTCATTTCTCCAGCATACTGATTAATGCTCAAATCATTACCTTAAAATTAACAAATTATTTTTATTAATTCACTTAATCTATTAGTTTATGACCATCGGAAATTGGCCACTCTCATTGGGGTGTAACTTAGATTGCGATTACACCAATTAGATGAACCCAAAAATAATACTTTGGGTTGGACAATCAGCTTAGCTCAATTGAAAATATTATAAGACTCATTCTTCAAGTTTGCTTGATAAAGGCCATTTATCACATGGTGTAATAAGATAACAATGTTTTTTTTTTTTTTTTTGATGGGGGGAGGAGGGGAAACGTTAAGGTATTCATTCAATAAAAAAATACAAAATTCCCCTTTGCATTGAGGCTATGTACAAAGGATGTACAATCAGCCCATAAGACTTACATCAATGCTCTCAATTCACTAATGAACATACTTCACCTTCTCTATATCACAAAAATTCAAATGAGAAACAAACCGAAGATAATGCACCACATATGCAAAGACCTTCCAAAATATAGAATAATGGGAAAGATTCTTCAAATATCAATAAACAAATCCAGCATTCATGGATGAACATCATTATTTGTCTTACACATCTAAATAGATTGCTGCTACATGGGTTAGGGCCGGGCTTATGGACTTTTGGACTTAATGAGTAATGACTTTGGACCTATAATATCAAATAATGATAATTTATTTATTTATATTGTTTAAATTAAATAACATGTAAATGTAATACATACAAAAGAATATACAAGCCAAAGTTAAATTGGGCTTGGCTAGGATTTAGGCCTATGGCACAAAAAAAAATAAGGCATAGGCCTCATTTAATTGCTAGGCTTGATTTAGCTTGGGTTACCTATCATTTTTATAAATGAAGGCCTTCATTCCCATTCTTGATCAATGTAGGACTTGGAAGAACACTAAATAGTTAATTCAATCATTGAGTGTTTTTCCATGTCCCACATTGCTTAGGGATCGAACGAGAATGAGGGCTTTGCCTTCATCTATACAGGGCCTTGTTTAGGAGAACAATTCTCATAATTGAATTGACTTAAGTGTTGACACATATGCTAACATGTTTCAATGTACAAATATTTATTTATATGTTAAAATAAAACTTAAAATTTTTATATTTTATATAAAATATAAAACATATATTATAATATAATATATATGTGGACAGACCTAAACCAAACTTGAATTATTAAGCCTAAGCCCAACATTTCTAGGATTTGTTGGAAGGGTTAGAAGTCAGATTAGACATGGTCGAACAAGATCTAGTGGTTGGCTAAACTAAAAAAAAAAAAAAAAAAAAAAAAAATTCTAACACAACTTGGGAACTGGTTTCCTAGTGATTTTGAAATTTGAAATTTTGGGGTTGATCTTGCATTGAAGTGGATTAGACTTGAAATCCAAATTAAAACTGATTATACCTGATATGAAGACCAATGTGCACAATTCCTAAAGTGACAGTTGTGTGCGCGGAGTCGATTAAGCAACACCATTTCAATAAAATCAATTCCCAACTTGCTTAAATCGATTTGTGTGAACTTAGTATCCTCTAATGTTTTTATTCCAAAAACACAATAGAGAATTGATGAGAATTAGCCCCTAACACAATTGGTTCGAGCTAGGGTTTGTGAGAACCAAGGGAGAAGAGAAGAAAGCAAGACGATTAAATCGACCCTCCCCTTTTAGTCCTTTATATAAAGCACTCTCCTAATTTAATTATGAGTTTATCCAAATCAGATTTGGATTAGAACTTTATCTTTAATTGATAAGTATTATCTTCTTAAGAGAATGGGTGATCTATACCCATTTCGACCCAAATTACATGACAACTTAATTATCATGTGGTCTCTTAACTAATCATATTGATATTGGGCCTTAGGCCTATTTTCTTTAATGGTTCACGTCCCAAGGTATTGCATAGCCACTTTGGGCCTAAATATTGTATGATGTGGGATCTACAAAGGTCTCACACAAGTCCATAATGGTTTAGCTCTACCTTTGTAAGAGATTAAGCCAAATTCATTACTCAGGGGTAGTGAACCCCTGACCCAATCAACTTGGGCTCAATTTGGGCCCAACATTTACACATAAAATGACTATTGGATTCAACCACCCTATAAAGACCCAAAGATAATGGACTTATGTGAGTTAAAGCTCATTAGGTAATTAACCCTATAATGGTTTTTTACACCTAACCTCTTTGCCCATAATCATCAAAACATTATCTATAGGGAATGACCTCTTCCTTGACTGCAAAATATAGTGTCACACTCTATGCTCGGATGGATCCTAAGATTAAAACCTTTTGCAAATATTTTTCTATAAAATAGTAATGTAACATATAAATATATTTTGTAAATCAGATTTCAAAGATAGTGAAATCAACTACCGGTAGTTTAAGTTTTTATCAAATAGAATGTAAATCATAATATTTACTTTGTTTGACAAAGGGGCCGATTCTATCACTATAATCACCCACTCAGATAATTTCTTAAATTTCCTGAGCATACCCAAATATTTGACCCTTGATGGATCTCTCTAGTTTGCATGGACAATTCAGTACAAAACCTAGTGTAATATCATAATCAAGTCTTGGGTTAAGTGCAACTTTCCAGTTTTGCCCATCTATCTCTAAGGTCTAGGGCACAACTAGAAATTGATTCAGGTTCAGTGTTTCTTCCAAACACTCACTAGCTGTGCTTAGAGTCTAATCCTAGTAGTTAAGACAACCTACTCCATCAATTTAGTAGCATACTAATGTCAGTTTTGTTAGAATAAACTCCCTAAATTTATCCAATGGTTGAGAACATTCTAAACTAACATGAGTCTCATAAGTGTCAAGTTTAAAGAGTAATTCACAGAAAAACACCAATAAGAAAATGAAATAATAATGTACTTTATTTACTAATAAATGTTTGTGTACATCAATTTTATTAGAGCTAAGGGCATAACTGCTAATAACTCCCACTTATACTTTCATCTAATCGGGTATTAACCTCAATCCCATACTATCCACATTTCATTCTAACATTTTCTGTGTTAGTGGCTTAGTTAATGGATTTATCACAATTTCCATTGATTCTACCTTTTAAATCTGGATGTTTCCTCTACTAACAATCTTTTGTAGAATGTGATACTTCCTCTTGATGAACTTTGACTTCAAATGGTCTTTTGACTCCTTAGCTTGAGCAATGGCTATAGTGTTGTTACACAACAGTATAATGGGTGATGTGCTGGATAGTATGACTCTTAATTCTTGGATTAATTTCTTCATCCAAACTGCTTCTTTGATAGCATCACTTACGATAATGTACTAAACTTTGGTTGTGGAGTCTGTTGTGGACCCGTGTTTTCTACTTTTGCAACTAACTACACAAGATCCCAACATAAAGATATATCCAAATGTTAAACTTTTTATCATCTAGAATGAGTGATGTGCTAAATGGTATGACTCCTAATTCATGAATGCATTTCTTCATCCAAACTACTTTAACAGCATCACTTGCGGCAATGTACTCATCCTCAGTTGTTGAGTCTATTGTAGACCATTGTTTGTCACTTCTAGGGCTATTCATAAGAATGCCCAACCCGACCAAACCGACCAATCCGGATCGACCCAACCCGAGTCAGTCGGGTTTTCATTCGTACTGGTCGATTTCGGGTTGGGCACATACAAAAACCGATATCTCGGGTCAGTTTCGGTTTTCACATAAGAAAACTGAAACTGACCCGACCCGAACCGAACTAGTATTTCTTCTACTAATTTGGTAGTTCCTATTTCCTAGTTTGAGTAGTTTCCTAATTCCTACTAGTCTTCTAAACTTCTACTAGAAATAGAAGGCCCATTAGGCAATTACAATTAGAATTCAATTAATTAGGTGTCCTTTTTTAGTTTTTTACCTAGATTAGGCAATTACAATTAGAATTCCTACTAGAACTAGAAGGCCCATTAGGCAATTACAATTAGAATTCCTAGTTTCCTACTAATCTTCTAATTCCACTTTTGTCTTCTCTTAAAATCTTCTATTCTCTAACTTAACTTGGTTGGTCCGCCCCCCCTCAACTCAAGTCCTCAACTAATTCGGAGTTTATTCGGCTTTGTATAGGAGCAAAACCGAAACTAACCGAAACCGACCCAACCCGACTCAAACCGACCAAGTCGGTTTGGCCTATCAATGGATCGGTTTCGGTTCCCACCTCTGGTAACCCGACTAGGTTGGGTCGGTTGGGAAAATCCCATGAAACCAACCCAACCCGACTTATGAACACCCCTAGTCACTTCTACAACTAATTGTATAGGATCTCAACATAAAGATATAGCTAAGGTTTAGCTACGAACAAAAAACCATAGCCTATGCTTGTGTGACTATAGCCTATAGCTACGATTCAACTTATCCGTGGCTATAACCCATTTATAGCTATGGTATATGTCCGTAGCTAAAGGGTGAACACATACCATATGAACCTTTAGCCACGGGCTAAACCGTAGCTAAAAGAAGCATATAGCTACAGCTTTTAAATTGTCCGTAGTTATATATCCAAGCCTATAACCACAAATTTTTACAAAACCGTAGCTATAATTCTTCTATTTATAGCTACAATGTGTTACAAAACCATAGCTAAATGAAGTAACTTATAATCACAGCTTTTTTGCTAAAACCGAAGTTATAGCACATCTAGAATGATGTAATATATGCCCAAAATTTCTTGGAAAACCATAGCTAATTGTTTCCATCTATGGAAATTTTGTGGCTATATTCCAAATAAAATAGTAAAATAATGACAATTAGGACTACCACCTTAAAGCAACACCGATTTTATTCATACATCACATGAGAATTATATAATAACTTCTAGAAAATACTTGTATAATTGTAATAATTAAATACATGCCACAAAATTTGAATACATCCCTTGTTCTACCAAAAAAAAATACACCCATTGTTTAAAATGTATTACAAATGTCAAATTTCCCTAAATACATATTAAAGTCTACATGACTTTCAAAAAAATAGAGAAATTTTAAATATAAAAGAATTATCCATTGTCTTCAACTATGCTTTAAGAGTCACTCGTTGCATCTTTAACCTACAAAGAAAAACAAAAAAAAATTAGAACAATGATTACTTTGATGATCTAATTAAATATGCAATATACAATGGAACTTCAGTAATATGGGATACATTTTAAGACATTTTAAGACATTTTAAGAAGGATGGCATACACAAGAACTTCAGTAATATGGGATTTCTAGTTTAACTTTTATTACTATTATTGTTATGGGTTTCTTCACCAAGTATGATGAATGGTCAAAATGGAAGCATGTAATCAATTCTGCTCTTCTCACTTTCATCAACTGCAACACAACCACAACCCTGGAGGGCAGGGCACTAGGACAAATTCAGGAGATATAGCAAGTTCCAACAAGAAAAAATCAACTTGCTGGGTCCTGAAAGGGAGAATTTGCACAAGGCAACAAATAAATTGCATGTATAATTTATTATCAAATTCAAGAAAGAGAGAATCTAGCCAGTATGATTCAAGAAAGATCTATGAACCACCTAATTCCTGATATTATCAAATTCAATGTCAAGCATATCAAGCTTGTGGCCATTGTTTCATCCAAAAGCTTTTATTGAATACTGAGGTGTGCTGATATTAATTTATGTTTCTATATGGAAGATTGGTTAGGCTTTGACCATATTAAGGAAAGATACCCAAAGCAAAGAAGCCAAGGATATATATAAGGTATCTGAAGATAGAATAAATCATAGATCCAAGTTGAGGTCCTGCTGAAATGAATGACTGACTTCAAAGGACAAAGGATGCCCAAAGTTGACAGGTTAAAGAGTAAAGATGGTTTTTATAAAACATAATAAATTGTTTGCTGATTCCTGAGATTGATTGTCACATTCAGTTTAATCCTAGAAATCATGATCGTCCAATTCATGGTTATCATGAGCTAGACGGTATGGGCTTTTAACTTTTCAACTTATATGGTGGGCTATGAATTATTTTAGGGCTTGCTAAATGAAAAGACATGATTTGCTTTATAGTTTGTTGATTAAGCAATAAATAAGCCTATTCAATATTATAAGCTCTATTTACTTATAAAAAGATTAACAAATAATATGAGTTTCAGCCCAATGGTAATGATGACTTCTTAATCTTAATCCAACCCAAATGGAAACATTGGTCATGGGAGGTTAAATTAGAACAAGAATTGGTCTGATACAAACCGAATCTATCTTATAATAATCTGAACCAATGGGTATGATCATGAATCAGGATTAACCGCATTGTACGATAGAACTTCAATATTTATAGATTCTTGACTTCCTGTTAAATCACAAAAATAACACTCAAGAGACCAGAGGATGCATTCTACTCACCATCCAAAGCATATGAAACATGAAGGTGAAGGTTTATCCATCCGGAAAGCCCAACCATACTTGCCATAATTAGTATCACTCCTACAAGGATGACATTGTTGCAAAACTTGGTTAAAACTTAAAACTGAGTCCAGAGAAAGATTTAGGAACAACTCACAATATAATGAGGCAGCATCTAGATCACAATTACCTAATTCATGCATTAGCTTGATCCAAGTCCATAGCTTGAATGAGGTTTTCTAAGAAAAAGCTTCTATTTTGGTTAGTTAAACAACAATGACTGGTTTTAATTACTTGAAAATTAAAGATCCAAGCTCATTATAGGAAGTACTACTTCAAGTTATTAACTCAATCGAACCCCAACATAAACCCTCATGTATGTCTAATTTGAATGATTTTTTCTATGCAAGTACATATCAAAAAGAACAATAGTACATAAGAAATTAATATGCTATTAACCAATCACAAGGAGATCCCTTCAGGATCTCTCTCATCCCAATCCCAACGAAGAAGAATTCACCTTAATAATAAACTACTTACACTTTAAAAACTCAAATAGTGAATTTTCACAGATTGCACTTGCTATTAACATCCAACAAGGTTTTGAATCCACCAACCCATGAAGTGGCCCAAAACACTCTCCTTGGTGTACAAGCCCATTGATTACAATTTATTAGCATAGCCATAGTAATAGCATAGATCCATGGACCCAGACCATTAACCCAGAGATTTTTTTCCTAATCCCAAAAAAGAACACGAGTAGGTTCTGATTCTTTGAGCTGAAATATATCGCCATCATATTATCATGAGTAGAGTGCATAGATTATAGAGAATAATCCATTTATTTATTATTATATTTATATACCCCTTGTGCCGATTGCTGCTACCCCAACCCATGGATATAGGCCCCTTATACTTTTTACCTTGATAAGCAAGTGCAAGTGGCTAGAGCAAATGAAATTAATCAAAATGAAGAAGACAAATAAGTGCAAGTTGACAAATGGATATGTGATTCAGAAACCATGTTCTTACCTAAAAGCTTGATGCAAAAAAATCATATCGGAATCTATCTACATTCATGCATATGCTAAGAATATTGTAGACTGTAGACCTGATGCTACATTTTATAGACAATGGATGACACAACTAGGTCTCAAGTTTATTGACTTTGTTTCTACCTAACAAAATATGATTAGGCTTAGGCTCCTAAACAAAATTAGTGTTAAATTAATTCTTAAGGTTGGAATGAAATTATTATCTAATTCATGGAGTAATTGATTTCACACAAGTACTATGAAGAACTCATGGAGTCAAGGTGAACTGACCTAGTTTTTACCTGTTCATAGGATGATCACTTCCATCAAATAAAATTTTTATAAACTGGCATTGATTTGATGCACCACTCAACCCATTTTAGTGTCATTTTAAAGCTGAAATTAATCAATTAATATAACTACTCCCTAACTTAAAGGAAGCTTTATCAATGGGAGTTGCAGGTCCCATTTCGCCCAAGCTGGGAGGGATTTGAACTTCATATGCTTGGATGCAAAAGAAAGATGAGAGGAGAAATGCATTTGATTGAATACTGAAATGGGAGGGATTTGAAGCATTATTGGAACAATGCATTTGATTGAATGCTAAAATGGGAGGATAAAGTTTGCACTCCAGTTTAGTTAATCGTGGAGATACTTGTATTCCAAGACAATGTCTATAAAATTCTATCTATTATAAAAACCACTGAAATTAGTTCATAATAACAAGAATCATCATAGAAGATGTTATCAACAAGTTGCTATATATGAACATAAGTCAAGTGTCTGTAATCTAAAATGCTTTCAACTATGCACACACTGAAAGTCAAAAATAATTCTCAAACCATTTCAGTCTCCAACCTTGATTTATAGAGAGAGAGAGAGAGAGTAGAGTAAAAGTATAAGGGAAACAGACACTAGTTATGCATAGTTTATTTTTCCTTTTTTTTCCAATTGAGTTGTATGAGCATCGGTTTCTGTGAATGCATGATATTGTATGATTTGTTTCCTTGGTTAATTATTGATCAATAGGAAGCTTAATATGAGAAGAAATTATTAAACTTTCAATTGAACTAAAACAGGGATGAATAAGGAAAAGTTCCTTTTAGGGAACAAAATGATTGAAAAGGAGTGTGTTGTTAAACTACTTAACATGAAGAGAAACCTCCGATTGCTCTACTAATGTTTATGTTTTGAGCGGGACCTCTCTAGACAATAAGGTGCTCTGTTAATGTTTATATTGTAGTAGGTTGCTCAGTAACATGTTTAAGGTCCATGAGCCTTCTACCATAGTGAAACCAGTGGTTGGGGAACGTTGGATGAACGTTCTACCAATTTTGTATCACGATCTAGAATAAGAGTTACCAACGAACACAATAAAAGAGCCATTACAATCACATTTAACTGCAGGAAGCTCTAATCTCAGGGGAAAAGCAATAAAGAGGGGAAAAACATTGCCGAAAACAACCTACACTTAAATGCACATACAATCAAATTAAACACACGTACCTAGACTTTGATTAGATCTACCATTGCATTTGAGAGGGAACAAAAAATATAATAGAAAACATAACAAGGAAAGAAAACCAACATAACAGAAAATACCTTCTCTCTCTAACCTTCTTCTTTGTTCTATTTGTCTCTCTATCTCTGTTCTCTCCCTTTCTCTTCTTTGTTCAATCTTATTATTTTTGGACTTGAACGCAGCGGTAGCGGAACCTACTCAGCCCTCTCTCTATAATCTCCTTCTTCTTCGTTCTCGTTGTCTCTCTACCTCTATTCTCTCCCTTTCTCTTCTTTCTTCGGCTAATATAATTCTAGGGTTTTCTTTTCTAAACTTGAACGCAGCAGTAACGGCACCTCCTTTATCACCCTCCTTTGCTCTCTTTCTCGATCTATCCCTTTTTCTTCTTTGGTTGCGCGCGCGCGAGCAAAGTAAATTTTAGAGTTTTCTTTTTTGATTTGAATTAAGGGACTGTATGGTCAGGTTTCAGGTGTGGATCCGGGTAGGCGGGTAGGGTCGCGCATCCAGATTTAGATCTTTCTAAAATTATTTGGTATTTTTCTGAATTTTCTACTATTTTCTACATTTTCTGAAAAATTCTGGCTTTTTTTTGCATTTTTTACAATTTTTTGTGCTTTTCTGCATAATTTTTGCATCTTTCTGGTGTTTTTCGTGCATTTCTTGCATTTTTTGGAAATTTTTTGCATATTTTCTATTTTTTTCTACAAAAGTTCTGAATTTTCTGTAATTTTTGGTATTTTCTACAATTTTCGTAATTTTTTGGTATTTCTTGACTTTTCTGCAATTTTTTGGCATTTGTTTGTATTTTCTGCAGTTTTCTACTATTTTTTGCATTTATCTACAATTTTTGTATTTTTAGGTATACGGCTTGACTTTACCCGTTTTTGTCACGTTGTAGTCTTGAGAGAGATGATTATCTCAAAAATGTTTTTTTCCAGACTAACTTTAATTAAAGCATGGATAAATTTAACCTCCATTTCGATATTCAAACTAACTTTAATTAAAACTGAGAGTACAATTAATAGTTGAATACAAATACGTAAGATTAATGAATAAATTGATAAAAATATTAATTATATTTATAAAATAAATATAAAAAGTATCACATAATAAAATTTATTTTTATAATTATTTTCAATTTAATTGTAACTTAACTTTATAATTAATTAATTTTAAAATTAATTGATAAAAAGTTAAATAATAATAACATTTCTATACTTTACTTTCAAATCAACTATAAGCTAATTAGTTTTAAAACTAATTGATAAGAATTTAAACTTTAAAACCAATAAAAAAAAGAAATTTTGGCAACGTTTTTCTCCCCTTTTAACGACGTTTGTGTCTAAAAGAAGAGGAGGAGAGAAACTCGGTTGCATACTTGTCTTGTCCTTTGATAAAAGAAGAAGAAGAAGAAGAGACCCATACTTATTCTTTGTTCAATTGTTTGATTGGAAGAGTGATCTCAATAGTAGATAGGGAATGAGAGGGAAAAGGAGGTTTTCGATGCAAATGAGAGAAGTTGAATAGAGAGGGAAAGGGTTTCTTGTGTGCGGGAGAGAGTTCGCATCAATTATTTTAGCCGTCTTCCAAATTTTTTACTTCCATTCAATCTCAACCGTTTAATTGGATTCAATCTCAACCATTTATAAAGAAAATTTAAATTTATTTAATATAATTGCACTAAGCCGCTAATGTTTTAGTCATTTAATTATATTAATGTCTTATTAGTTGCTTAATCATTTATCATGGTTATTATATTAATTCACCAATAATTAATAGTTTTTGTTAATTATTTGATCATTCTATCATTTAGTTATTTAACAATTTCATTGAATATTTTATTAATTATGTAATTATATTTTAAAATTTTTAATTATTTAATGATTTTCACTAGTTATTTAATAAAAAAATTTAACTACAAATTTCTAGTGGTTTTCATTCAGTTGGTTTGATTCAATTTGGTTAGAACTAAGAACCTAACATTTTCAAAAAAAAAAAAAAAAAAAAAAACTAAGAACCTAACTAGCATTTCAACTTATCCATTCTTATGAACCGCATTGAACCAAACTAAATGTCATAACCAAACTGAATTTAATATAATTTGGTTCAGTTTTTTGTTCGGTTTGGACCCACTTATATTAATATTCATAAACTCGTGAATAATATATTATTATTATTATGTATAATAATATATATCACTATTTATAAACTTTTGTATATATATATGCTTCAATGGGCTACACAACAGGAGGTACCATATCCCCCAACCCTAGTGGCAATAGAATTTGATCCTAGGTCTTTGCTACAACAACTAGAGATCCTACCAACTAAGCCACCATCAAACCAAGAATCAAATAAACTAGACTAAATTTTCTTATTTAGTTTGGTTCGATTTGGTTTTCATTTCAGTAACCAAATTTGAGTACCCCTAGCTTTCATTGCTTGTGACATGACATTTGCTTTTTGAGATGAAAAATGAAACACCAAATATTCCATGACCCATGCCTTTGGTTGTAGTGTGTTTGTTGTCTCTATGTCATTAGTGAATAAAGGTCAATGGGGATGGTTGGTCATCGGTGTTATAGACTAAACATTGGATTTTGGTCACTATGACCTAAATAAGATAATGTTGCAACACAAAAAGGCTTCACTAAGAGGGGAGAATAGAAGAAATCTAACTATTGGGTCGGGTTTGAATCGGTTCAGGACTAGGTGGAACCAGTTTCAAACCGATAATAATCGGAACAATATATCCGAAACCAGAGTCAATTCATCAGTTCTGATTCCTAGAACCATAACCAACCTAATCAGTTCATGAACATTGGGTTTGTTGGGTCAAACCTGACCCATTGAATGCCCTATTTCTATGTAATATAAATAACATATATTATCTATAATATACATATAGTTAAATATATGTGGGTCAAGTTAAGGCCAAGGCAGGTTTAAAGTATTAGGCCCAACCCTAAATTTTGGGGCTCTAATGAGGGCCTGAGCATCGACCAGGGCTTAAACACAAAATCTAGGTCCAAGAGCGAAATTTTCCAACTCACTAAAATGATCACCCTTGTTTTATGGCAAAAATAGCAGGGTAAGGTGCATTCAATACTTTAAAACATAGGTAGAAAAAAAGTTACCCAAGACCAATTCATTAGTTCTTGGGTTAGACCGCTTTGGTGGATAGTTTTGGCTTTTTTTGGAGTAAATAGGGTTAGGTGTATGATCAAATTGGTTAAGGGTTGGGTCATGGATTAACAATAATCTGACTAGCTAGTCTTGTTCGGCTTTCTAAACATTGGTTAGTGTTATATGTTTTCTTATATATAGAATAAATAATGTTGTTTCGAAATATGTAGAATATATATATATATATATATATATATATTGATTTATTTATATTTTATTTTAGTTTTTCATCTTTCACAAATAAAAAAAAGTTAAAAATTACACTTTGAGGCAAAAAAATTGGTAAAGTGGTTGAAATAATTTATTAAATAAATTATTACTTATTTATGAATTTAAATATTTTAGTTTAATTGTCAATATTATTTTCATTCATAGGTAATTAATTAATTTACTATTAGCGATTTTCATATTTAGTTTATTATTTTATATTAATTATTAATTTACTTAAATAATTAAATTAATTTTTGATGATTAGTTTTAATTAATCAAATAATAATTAATACTTATTTATTTCTATTTTAGAAATTATTTTCTTTTTATTAATGTACTTATGAAATTATTAATAATCTATTTTCTAGTTTAATTATTATTAAAATAAAATCATTAATTATTATTGTTATGCAATAGTAATGAGCTAATAATTTGTTAATTATTAATTATATTCATTTACTTTAATAAATTATAAACTATTAATTTACTATAAAAAAGTAATTAATAAATAATAAATATTTTAAATGAATATTATATGATTATTATTTATGAGCTAGGAATAAAATGATTGTAGCTAAAGAAGATTAACTTCCTAATTATAGCCACGGAATGACGAAACTTTAATTATCCGTGGTTATAGTGATAATTAGCTCTTTAGCCACGGACAGAATAACTTTTAACCACGGACAAATTGTCCGTAGCTAAAGCTCAACTTCTGCTTTTGTAACTTATGACCACGGACAAATTGTCCGTAGCTAAAGCTCAACTTCTGCTTTTGTAACTTATAACCACAGATATATTATAACCGTGCTATAAATATCTTTTAGCCACGGAAAGAACAATTTTTAACAGCGAACAAATTGCCCGTGGCTAAAGCTCATTGTGCTTTTGTTAACTTTTAGCCACAGATACATTATAACTGTGGTTATAAATATCTTTTAACCATGAACAGAATAACTTTTAACCACGGACAAGTTGTCCGTAGCTAAAGCTCAACTTTTAACCACGGGCAAATTGTTCGTAGCTAAAGCTCAACTTCTGCTTTTGTAATTTATAACCATGGATACATTACAACCGTGGCTATAAATATCTTTTAGCCACGAACAGAATAACTTTTAACCACGGGCAAATTGTCCGTAGCTAAAGCTTAACTTTTTGCCACGGACATGGAACTGTCCGTGGTTATATCCCATGTTTTAGCTACAGTTTTTCTAACCGTAGCTAAAGTGTCGTAGCTATAGCCCCATTTTCCTATAGTGTGGGTTGGATTTATATCTAATCACAATACTAATGGCCTAGGCAATGTTAGGTTGAGTGCACAATATAGTATTCATGATGCTCCTTACAAAAGAGGCATAGGGAACCTTTCTCATGTCTTCTATTTCCTTAGTGGTCTTAGGTGACATTCGTTTAGAGAGAGTGACTTCATGTCTATAAGGAATGAATCCCTTCTCGGAATCCTACATGTTGAATCATTTTCAATATAAGTAAATGGGGACAATCTAATTAACTGCTTTGATCTATCTCTATAAAGTCAAAGTTCTAAGATATAAGAAGTTTCTCTAAAATCTTTTATGGAGAAGTGCTATGAAAGCCATATTTTCACTATTATTAACACTTCTACATTATTCCCAATGAGTATAATGTCATATACATATAAAACTAAGAATGCAACCTTGTCTCTTACTATTTGATTGTTGAGTCAAAATGGATGTTACAATTTCTGGATGCTTGTTTTAATCCGTATATAGATCTGTTGAGCTCACACACCATGTGTTCCTAACCCTTAGCAGCAAAGCCTTCATGTTGTTTATGTAGATATCTTCAATAAGATTTTCATTCAGGAACATAGTTTTGACTCCTTTCTAAGTGTGCAGATATAACCAATTGTATCTTAATAGATTTCAGGATGGCCATGGGTTAAAAGGTTTCCTCATAATCAACTCCTTTTTAAGTATAACATTTTTCCATAAGTTAAGTTTTATAGGTTTTAACCTTT